GGAATCTTCCTCCTGTGAGTCTCTTGTCTTTCAGAGGAGAGAGCCAGATGGCCTACGTAACACCAGCACTGTGATAGTATTCAAACAGCACTTGTCCTGGAAATTCTCTTTCTTACCCTTCCTTGCTGGACGACTGCCATTAGATCCTTGGTGTAAGGCTATTTTCAAATCTTTTCTCACTATTTTTTGCCCTTTATGCCTTCCCTGACACTTCTGTAACAGACACAAAGTATTCACATATTTCCACAACTTCCTTCTCTTCAGCAATGCACATTTTTTGCACTTTTTGCAAATTTCGAAAAAAAAAATTTCTCCCTAGCTGTCCTGCACGCTCCACAGATATTTTCTGCTTGTTGAACACAGTGGCCATGTTTACATGAGATGCTGACTATGCAGTTGCTACTGTGCAGTAATTTAGTACTTGCATACACAAGTACTAAATGACTGTGCTGCAGTAACTAGAGTTACTGCACAATTGCATCCCTGAATGGCTTTTTGGTGATGATGACTGCACAGTAGCTTGTTATTACTGTGCAGTAGCTCGTTACTACTGTGCAATCAGTGTCCCATGTAGACGTGGCCAATAAAGATAACCCAGAGGCCATTTATACAAGAATCTGTTTGCAAAACTCAAAGCTGCTCAAGATCTCCCATCACTTGGAACTAGAAAAGAATGGGGGGTGGGGAGGGGGGGGAAAGGAGGGGTGGAGCTTGCTCCTGGGATGTAACAGTAGTCACACTGCAAGAGTCTATCCTACTGTTCACTTCTTCACACAGAGTTGACTCCTGCAACAACAGGACAGGACTTATCAATAGTACATACCGTTGCTTGTCAGCTTTGTAGCCTTATCTGGGAAGAATGAGCACATTGCATATATTATTTTTATGAGTAACAAACATACTCCAGGTTACCTGTTTGATATTATCCTTCCTGACTGCCAAAGCTAAAACAAACAAACAAAACAAAAATTAGTAATGAGGGAAATCCACAGGAAACAGAGCATTGGCAAAGATAAGGTTCAGTCCAGAGAATACCAGAGGCTGGAGGAAACAAGTAAGGGAACTACTGAATAGTAGATACCCCTGCCCTGGTTCCAGCTAGTTTGGCAGGGTTTATTCTTCACAGACCTGAGTCTTACAACAAAGAGGAGACTTAAACCTAAAAAAGAGGGAGTTGAATGAGTTGTCAGCAGCTGTCTAGGGGGAGAGATGATGACAAAGATAGAAAAAAGACACAAACTGTAGTGAGCTGACTGTCGCTTAACCCAGAGATGGAAACTGTTTGAATTAGCCTCACAAAGCTTGCAAAGAAAGATGAAGTTTTAGGTAAGGGGATGTTTGCATTTAGGCCTTTCTTGCTTGATCCTTTGCTGTGTGTTTTTGGGTAAGTAAATAAATAAATATTTTTTTTATTTTGAAGAAACTGGCTTTGATTCAATTTATCTGTCACTGGCTTCTGGAGGAAAAAAAGCTTACACATGATCTACAGATTACATTGGCAAACAGGCCCAGAGATCCAGTCCCACAGTGGCTGAACCATGTGACTCCACCTACATAAGGGAAGAGAGAGCAAAACATGCCCCGGCTGGGCTGCATACAAGAGGATGCAAAGGAGGTCTAAATCATAGTTTATGCTGTAGCAATGACAGAACGAAGTGTTGGCATTGGTTGGAGTGATTAATCAGAGAACAGTAGAGCTGGGAGCGACCTCCGGAGGTGATCTAGTCTACCCCCTTGCTTAAGGCCAGATGATTCTAGACTAAGCCATTTTAGTCAAGCATCTCTCTAACCTGCTCTTAAAAACTTGAAAGCATGAAGTTTCCACAGCCTCTCTGGGCAACCTGTTCCAATGCTTAGCCCCTTTCCTAGTGAGAAAGTTCTTCCTAATATCCAACCTAAATTTCCCCTAGTGCAATTTGAGACCATTGCTCCTTGTCCTGTTCTCTGCAGCAATAGAGAATAGTCTATCTCCATCTTTCATATAACCACCCTACGGTATTTGAAGACCATTATCAATCCCTCCTTAGTGTACATGTTCATTAGGGCTGTGCAAAGCTTCAGTCCCTGATTCTATTTGGCAGAGATTTGGCCTGATTTGGTGGCCCAATCTCTGAATCTGAATTGAATCAGAGGACCCTTTAATCTCTCTGAATCAAATCAGAACCCTCCTAATCAATTTGGAGAGATTTGGCCGTAGACACAGCTTTAAATGTTTTTTCTACATACCTCTAGGTAGCAGGCAGATCATGAGTGCTGTGATGCTGGGGTGCATGGAGTGTCCCACAGAAACATGGGGGCGGTCCCTAGCGTGCTTGACAGAAGACCCGAAAGTGGAGCAGAAGCACTTCTGGTCCACTTCCAGGTCTGCCAGGGAGCGTGCCGGGTGGGGGGGGCTGCACCCCCCAGCTTGGCAACTGGTGCCTCCTGGGTCTGGAAAGGGCACCCAGGGTCCCCCTGCAGCCAATCGCTGAGCTGGTGAGTCATGGGGGGGTCCCCCCAGGATGCTCCCTGGCAGACCCAGAAGCGGACCAGAAATACTTCCGGTCTACTTCTGGGTTTGCCGCCGAGCATGTGGAGAGTGCCCCTGCACTCCTGTGGGATGCTCCATCCCAGCATTGCAGCATTCAGGAGCCGCACCTAGTACCTCAAGATATGCGGAAAAAACATTTAATGTTGTGGCTATGTCCGAATCGCTGATTCTCCAAATAAGCATTGAATCTTCATATTCGGATTCGGCCGAATCAAATCAGGGACAGTGATCCAAATCAACGAATTGAATCATTGTCCCTGATTCGAGCCAAATCCAAATCCAAATCAAATAAGGCTGCTTTGCACACCCCTAATGTTTATTAATGTGCTGCAGTTACTGTACATTAAGTTTAGTACTTGGTTAACTAAGTACTAAATCAATACACAGTAACTCGCGCTACTCTGCAGCGCATGGCTATTTAGTGATGCTTATTGCACAGTAGCCTAACACTACTGCATGGTAGTGTATTAGCATGGTTTTTCCTGGGAAAGTGCAGCACAGTGTTTTTGCCCAGCACAGTACTGCACAGTTAGTGTCTTGTGTAGATGTGCCCAGTTTGGTCTTCTCCAGACTAAACACCTGATTTTTTTCCAGCCTTTCCTCAATGGTCTTCTTTCCTAGAACTCTAATATTTTTTCTTGCTCACATCTGGACACTTTCCAATTATTCACAGCTTTCTTGAAGAATGGGGCCCCAAATGGGACAGGGCCCCAGATGACGCCTCACCTGTACCAAACAGCTTGGAATGATCACTTCTCTTGATTTGCAAGTGGCAGTCCTATTAATACAAGTCAGTATGCTACTTGCCTTTCTTGCAACAAGAGCACACTGTTGGCTTACATTCAGCTTATGGTACACTATAACCCTCAGATCCTTTTCTGTAGTGCTACAGTCTAGTTAATTATTCCCTAGTGTGTATTTGTGCATGTAGTTGTTCTAAGTGCTAATTTTTAGCTGGAATTCACCAATTTATTTGAAAACTTAAGGGCTGTCAAGAGGAAAGATTTGTAATTAATACAACCAAAGAGAAGATTAGGTCCAATAACCAAGAAATACTAAGATGTATAGGCCCTTTTGTAAACCCTTCAGCCAATTCCTCCTACCTAAGACCTATGGTTGCCCCTATTGTTGCATGTATCCAAGGGTATTCTGAAATAAAATGACTCCAGCCACAAGAGTAAGAAAGAGTACTTCCCTGCTGGCCATCACTGAGTAAGTTTGGAACATAATGTCAAGCTGTGCACTAATTGCCATGAGTAGATTCAACAAAACAAGAAGTTAGCATTGATTCTAATGACCACATTCAATACATTCACACATCTTACGCTTATCTTGTTTAGTAGCTCCCTAAGCCCACCCATTTTCCTCCTGCTGACTTTGGACCAAACTAAGAACTGTGCCTCAAGACTGAAAGACCTCATATTCACTTATCTGATTCCCCTGACCTAGCTACTTCCCATACTGTAGTGACGTACTGAAAGTGCTGCCTTGGGGGTGAGGACTGTGACCCAATTATCCTCCATCAGCCAGGTTCTACCCTGCCTCGCATTCCTGACTTTCCACGACCAACCTAAAGCTTCTAGGTTTAAATGAAGAAATATGAACTAGTCAGAGGGTGGCAGCAGACGGTTAAAGAACCAAAAAGAATGATCTGATAACAGTCTGAGAGCTCTTTCAAGTACGGCCACTCATTTAAAGGGACATTCTGCATTCAACACAAAAGTAAAAGCAGCAAGGCTGTTGCTGAAGACAAATGGCTAAATCCCATCAGTGTTAGGCTCATAAATGGAATTCTTGTGCAACTCCAGTGCTTTCAGTCTGTCTGTACTGGTGTAGCCAACTGGAAGATAATAAAGGATTCTCTGGATTAATAAACCCTAACTTCCTCCCTCCAAGCTGGACTGGCTCTGTAGGATGAACACAAGTAAAAATCAGTTAAAAAACTAATTGAGCTCTGAGGCCACGATTCTATAGTGACAAGAGATCTTTCATTCTCTGTTTTTTGTGTGCCTAATTCAAGACATTTTTAAAAGACCGGATTTTCAGGGAGTCCTGAGAACTAACTCTCTGAAATCAGGTCCCTGGAAAGTGAGATGAACTGGGTCTTCAGAAGCTGAGGAACTCAAAATCACAAGTTCGTTTTTAAAATCTTAGCCAAGGGAGAAGATCCAATGATGAATATACAAAGGGAGTGGGTATGTGGCATAAAAGGACACTTTTTGTATAGTTACTTTTTTTTAAGTAACCATATTTTAAAATGAGATTCAAACTGACCTATCAGTTTGACTCCAGAGATCCATTCAGACGTTGCTTAGGAAATGGTAGGTGAAGATACTGTAGGAATCATGTCCAGTAAACTTTCAGGCAAAAAAAGAGGCACATGCATTTCTCCTTTGCTGGCAGGGAAACAATAGGAATTTTTTTTTTTTTACAAAAGAGGCAAGACCGTTATTTACAAAAAAGCAAGACCTTCATGGAAAAGTCATAGAATTTAATAAGCTTGAAACTAACAGATCTATATAGGAATTACTCTTAAAACTTGTAGGTCTTAATAGAGAATAACAGCTTGTCTACATGCTTTTCAAAACCAGGACATTAAATTCTACAGCAGGGTTATAATTTTCTATTCAATATACAGGTTAGAAATCCCTGTAGAAAGATTTTCACTTGCAATTAAATTCTGAAGATTTTTTCCATAAGGTCAAATTTTCGTTTTCAATTTTTGTTTTCAACACCATATGCATCTCTCTGTTATTATCCCCAGTTGGGCAAAATGTACATTTTACATCTTGCCTATATTAAAAAAAAAATCGACCTGCATAACATAACCCACTTGCCCCAGTCCTGTGAATGACCACAGGGGAGCAAGGTACATTTAATGATACACTGAAATATAGTGTATCTCGGTAGGTCCTGGACAGACATGCAGGGGCAAAATTATACAAAGAAAATAAGTAGTAGTCTACCTGAAACTTCACCCCCAAAGATATACTCCAAATCTTTTTTTGTTTCCCTGAAGGCTCAGAAAAAGGTGGGTTAATTTTTACTTGTTTGTTGCATGCTGAGGTGTCCTCTACACTCCCTCAGTTTCCCAGTCTGGCTAGTGAGATTTCACCATCCCATCAAGCAGCAAAGGCCCAAAGCAGTTCAGATGAACTCAGAAAAATGAGCTCCCTCCTTGAATTTTGGGAAGTGCTTTATCAAGCTTTCCTAGTCTTCGGAGGTCGGCACCAGAACATGTAAACATATTTAATACATGCTCAAGTCTCACTGCTCAGGAAAAGAGGAGCCTTCCTTGAGGAGAGGCAGCGAAAGCTCCAAAATAAACAGTAGTTACTAAGGTATTTGTCTCATGCCTGCCCATGAGCATTAGGTTTACTTAATACCTCCCAAATATTCATCCCAAAGACATTTCCATTAGAGGTGCAGTGAAGAAGGAAGACAGTTCTCTTGAAATGGAGCTGGCTGCAGAAGCTCAGAAAGTCACGGTGAAGTTGTCTCTTCCTCCATTTATTAGGGGTAATGGTTCAGAAGGGCATGTGGCAGAAATACCACCTGACAGTCTCCATGTCCAATCCTTTAACAGTCCTGAATGTATTATGCTCACTAGAGGCTGCCTCAGCAATCTGTCTCGAGGATAAATACTCAGGCCACCTTTGCCTCTCTTGGTACATTTACTGGGTCCCAAACTTGCATCAGGAGAGGAGCATGTTTCACTCTCCCATGCTTTGAGCAATAATACCAGATCTTCAGCCTGGGGAGAAGGCAGAGAGATGTGTGTCAGCTGAATAGAGTAGAGCAGCCGGAGGAAAAGATCACTCTGGGGTAATGTGGTGATATCTGACCTAGTCTATTTATCCAGGAAGCCTTTAACTTTAGAGCCAAACATACTCTATGTGGACATTTCCTTTCAAGAGTATAGCAATCACTCATACACTACCAGTATTTCAATAAAGGTTTAACATTTCCTTCCGCCTCTGAGATCCATTCATCCTGTTCAGTCCTCTAACAAAACTGATTGTTCCACATGATTTTGGTTCCCCATTTATTCTTTAGCAAGGGCCAGAATGAAGACAATGCATTAAATGCCTTTGATACCACTTTCCCTGCATTTTCTCCACAGCAGGAAGTTGAGGAATCTCATGACAATGAAAACCCTCCAGTCAATGAATCATAAACTTTGTTAACAAAAATATAGAACCCGTACAAATGGGGGAAGCCCCCAAACCTAGCCTTTCCCATCTCTGAAAAAGAAATGGGAGGAAAGCAAAAAAAGGAACAAGAGCTGAGGAGTATTTACATTGTTAGGGAGAAAAACCCAGAAAATATAAAAAAAAATGAACAGGAGGAAAGGAGAAAATTCCCCTCCCACCTTCTTTTGTCCCTCTGCATTTGGTACTGCAGAGGGACTGGCAACACTGGGAATGGTGCCAGGCTTACGATCAGTGGTGGCCAGTCCATAGGCATTTCCCACTTTGTTAAGAAACATTACTTAGCAATATAAAAATGTAGAAAAAGCAACAACAAAAAGCTCCAATGTAAACTGGAAAACTGTGATACTGTTAATGCTGCTTCTTGACTTGCTGCCTCTTTTTTTCCTTGTTACTGGCAAAGGAAGAGAGAAAAGGATTCAAGCAGCAGCACCATGATGAACAAGCTTCCAAGCCTTCCAGGAAAGTCAGCTTTATGTTACTGTGTCTGTATACTAGAAAATGGCATGTGACCCTCCCTATCCCTTCCTTTGACAACCAGTAGAAATATCCCTTTCTCTGACTTTGAGCCAGAGATTGTTGTCCGATGTCTAAGGGAGCAAAAGAAAACTGCTTCAAAGAGAACAAAGCAAAGCTGTTTGGGAATGGGATATCCATATCCAGAGCTACTCAGTCCATATGAGAGCAGAGCCCTTGTCCACAGAGCAGTGCCATCTGTATCACAGAGTACAGTCTGTATTTATACAGCCTTGAGTCTTGTATCGAGGTACTGTATTTATCCCCATAAAACATTCTTTATAACAGTGCAAAGTTCATAACCATACAGACTTATGCTTCTTTTCTTACATCAGCCATAATCCCTGTATCAGTGCAATCAGTATCTTCAAAACTGTTTTCCGTTTAAGACAGAATCTGTATTCACATATCCCATGTATCAAAGTGGACTGTATCCATAAAACGTCATTCTTTTCTCCAAGAAAATATCCTATCCATATAGCTATATCCATGTAGTAAGCTACTTTCCACGTTTCAAGAGACATCCAAGTATCAGAACAGTTGGCATCCAGAGCCAAACCACTGGTTCAAAAAGACTTGCAGGTGATGTCACTATCCACTTTCCAAGCACTCTGTGTGCACTATCCAGGGCAATGAGGCTCAGTCTAGTCACAGGTGAGGAGAGCTTTAAACCTGTCAATCACATAAAGTTTTCACTCTCATTTCTTTTTTTTTTTTAATTCAATGTCAGAAAGTGTATCTGCCTGGGAATCTGGGGAGCTGGAGAAAGGATTCCCTGCCATTTCAATTCTCCCTCTCCCCTGTCTTAGCAGTAGTGGAGACTTTATCCCTGATAGTGTCAATTGTTTGTTTCCCCCTCCTCTTCATCAAAGGACTGCACCCCAGACGAAGTGACATCTGAGACCTTACGGCTGAGTGCAGCATTTTCCAGCTCCTCCCTAGGAGAAAGGGACTCTAAGTCCCGGCATACAGCATCATCCTCCTCTGGTGAAGGCTTCTTGTTCAGCAGGGGAGCTTTCTCCAGCAGTGGGTTCCCTTCCTCCTCTGTGTGGACCCCCACATAGGTGCTGGATTCAGCACCAGTGCCCCCAACTGGAGCAGTCTGGGGGGGCCACACATCAACTAGCCCTGCATTCTGCAATATGGCTTGCTGCTGCTGCTGCTGCTGCTGCTGTTGCTGCATCTGATGCTGATGGATGAGGCTGCTCTGAATCAATATGCTCTCCTGCAGGTTGGGCTGGGACTCTTCAAAGTTTTGGCCTAGGTAAGAGCCAGTAGCTGGTGAAGCAATGAGG